TTCGAAAATTCCAACACAAAAAAGAACTGGTACAGGGACTCAAGCAGTAGAGTGCCTGCCTAGCAAGTGTGAGGCCCTGAGTTCAAACCCCAGTATCACAAAAAGAAAAGCCTAAGATCTAGAACACACTGTCAACTTGGTATAGTGGTATACACCTGTAGTCCCAGCTGTTTGCCACCGTGGGCAACATAGGGTCTTGACCCTATCTTTTAAAAAACATAAAAATAATACATACATACATACATACATACATACATACATACATAAAATTGTACTGTCTAGTATGGTAACTATTAGTTGCATGTGGTTCTTTGAACTTAAATGCAAGTAAATTAGAATTAAATAAAATTTAAGTCAGCTATTCAGTCACATTAGTCATATTTCAAGTGATAAACAGCCACATGTAGTCTGAAGTACTGAATTTTTATGTTAATTTATTCATGTTTAGGGTTAAATAGGAACCCTTACCCTCGTGGCTACTGTAGTGATTTGTGTAGATACAGAGCATTCCATCAATGCAAAAAGCCCTCCTGGATGGTGTTGATCTAATGACAAGAGCAAAAATACAATGGTTTCCTTCCAGCAAGTTGGGTCCCTCCACATAGGGAGGAGCACATAAGTCCTGTACGAGCCTTGTCTCCTGGTGACCTTCTTAGCTCAGACAGCATGGCTTTGGTACACACACACACACAAAACACACACACACACAAGCCACCCATATGACTGCAGTAATCCGCAGTCAGTAAACAGCAGGGCAGGAGGCTTGCAAGAAGAACTGGCCTATTTTTATGCACGTAGAATCCTGAGCAGGAGAACCTGAGACAGGAGGCAGTGACAACACCTAGACCCGCTTCCTAGTACATTTATTCATGAATCACGGCACTTGCATATTTCCACTTTGACACCTTATGAGTGCAAGTTTCCCTTCACAGAGACAGGTGTCTGTAGCCAGGTGCTCTAATGGATTTATAGTGGCTACCAAATGTACCCAAAGTCTGTCTGGCAGGTCATAAGGTTAAAAGGAACCATTACTATTGGATGAGTTCCAGATTTCACAGTGAAACACAGCTGCTGCTGAGAAATGGAAGCACAGAGACGTATGGTGGGACTCTTAGTTGTAGAACACCCAAGGATCTCTGTCCCATGGGCATTACTCACTCAGTGCTTTTTCATAACACATGGTCCGGCATTCCTGAAGCATGATGTCCTCCTTCCCTACTTGGCTTCCTGAAGTCCAAAATGCCCTCCAGAATAGATCTTAGAAGGAAATGGCATTTTTCCTGGCTCCCCAGTCTCTCCCATCCAGGCAAGTGTAGTGGTGGCACTAATTTGGGCACAGCAGAAACTGTTTGGTCCTACTCTCTCGAGAGTCTAGGGTGTCCTGCACATTCAGTAACTGCTAACTGCTACCATTATTATTACTGTTGTTATTGTTACCATTATCATTATTAAAAACTCACACTAAATGGGAAGGGAATTGATCTTCAGGGAGTTCACTCTTAGCATTTCCAGAACACAGTCTTAGGACCTGGGCCAGTGGTTCTGTGTAGAGAGGAAGTAGTGACCCTCACTCTGAGAAGCAGTACTTCAGGAAGCCTTGGTGGAAGTGTATATCCCCTGGGCACACTGAGATCTGTTTCTAGAATTGTCAGGCCTTTCCTGTCACTTCTCAGATATAGCTCCACAGCTGGAGGGCTTTTCATTGACAGGTTCTTTAGTTCTTTGCTTTGCCTCCTGCAAACATGCAGCACTGCTTTATGTGAGGTCTCTTGTCCCTCCTTGTAGACCCCTCCTTATTGACTCTGTAAGTTCTGAGATACGTTATTCTCCCTCTGTTTTTATAAACTGGTGAGGTCTTAAGCATTCATCATTTGTACACTAGGAATTGCTAATTTATGCTCTCCTACTTAAAAACTTGAAGACTGTAGAACAAAAGTGGGCATAAAGGGCCTTCACAATGAAATATTAGGTCACCAGGTCTGTATTCTGAGTACCCAACTGAGTCATGGTCATAACCTTCAGCTGTGATTTTTAGATGCTATCTGTGTTAAATACTCAGTACCTCCATTGGGCACTTGAGGGCCCCAAAGGGAATTAGCATATGTTGTCCAGCCAGCTTGGCATACCTTCCTCTCTCTTTTTTTAGGTATTCTCAGCTTGGAGAAACATTGGTGAACTGGACACCAATCTGAGCCAGGCACGTTTTGGGTAGAGTACTCAGGTCAGGGCCACTAGGCAGAAATTTCCAGAAGGTTCTTGCCAACTGGCAGATGGATACCACTGACCAAGATCGCCTCCACCCTAGTGTCCTCAAGGCCAAGAAGTGTTCTGTATCTCATTTGCCTTTCCTGTTGGTCCCCAGATCTTTCTGAGTCTTCCAGAAAGATCTTCCATTGTTCCAACTCCTTTAACAAGGGTGGAATCTCGGTGCCTAACACTAAAGGCAATATTCTGCAAAGCAAATTGGTTATTTTGCATACCAAATCCAGAGCCATAATTGGACAAGTTTAATTGGAGTGCTTTCTATTCAATACATGAATGAAAAACTAGGTTCCAATTGAGCATGTTAAAGGGTCATTCGTCACTGCTTACACAGGAACAAAGTATAACAGGACAAATTCTTACAAAATAAAGTTTTTAAGGTTCCTTTTATTTACATTTGTTTCTAGTAGGATTTTGAAGGAACGTCAGCACACTGTTATTAACTCTACTAGCCTGCACATCATGGCCTGCATGGTTTGGGGCCCGCTGGCTCTCAGGTTACCCCTATAAATACAGGGATTCACTTCCCTGCACCCAGCTCTGCCATTTCCTTAATAAACAGCAAATGTGCAGAATCCAGCAGCAGCAGCAGCCTGGCAAAAGTAGTAATCTGAACAGGATAAACATGCTTCCTTTTTGTGCGATGCTCTCTCCATCCTCCTGCCAAAAGCAGGATATCAAATGAAGGGGAGGTTGTGGTTGCAGTCAGTAAAGTGAATGTCTGAGTGGCACCTGCTTCATTCAACAGATCTGCTTTCCTGGGGCCTCCCACTGCACATCTGCTCCTGACAAAGCCTCTTTTCTCCTCATGTTGGTCAGACTGAGAGCAAAGGCCCCCAGTAAGAGACATGTTGGTTTTGCTCTGTCAGCACAATTACCTGTGACATTCTAATTACGCCAAATCTTCATTACTTAGAAGAGCCTCAATTTAGAGATTTTCAGAGCTTAAATGGAATTTTCAAAGTGAAATTGAGTTTTAAAAAAAAAATCTTTGCTGTTGTAAAGCCAGCACTAGAATCTGAGAATCACTGAAGGGGTCTTAATATGGAAACTGAGACAGTGCTCTGAGCAAAACTACAAAGGCGTTACTATCAGATTGGCGTCCAGCAGTTCTTCTGACTTTGTCTGGACCAGCCTCTCCATACTGCTCATAGTACTACAATGTACATTACGCCACATTGTTCCTCGATGCTGTTCTCACGTACAGGCTGAGGGGACTAGAGAGTGTTAAAGTAAGTAGATGGGGAAAGCAATAAAGGAAGGAACCTATGATGTAAAAGGGGAATGCTCAGGAAATATGTTTCAGGCCCATACAAAGCGTGTGGTTTCAGACTGAGTTTCCATCTAAACAAAGGCAAGTCTTACAGTGCTACACTCTGTGTGCATTGATGGGGTAGTGTTGATGCACACTTATGATGTGCACTTGACACCCTGGAGGTTCTGGAAGGTTTTAGTACTCTAGCTAGTTCAACTTAAATGAACATCAAATAAAATTAAAGATTTAGTTCCACAGTCACACAGGCCACATTTCGAGCCCTCCATAGCAACCGTGTTGAACAGCATGTAACTAGGACGTGTTCGTTGTCACCCAGCGTTGTAGTGCACAGCACTATTGCCTTGGAGTTTCTCTTTCAGTCTTGGTGGAAGGGGGGAAAGAAATTTGTTTCTAGAACAGCTCTTTCTAGCCATGCTACCTATTCAGTATGTTTTAGTCTTTTCATATTAACATTTTTTTCCCTCCAAGAACTTCATGTCCTTTCCCTACCCCTTGCAAAAATATACTGAATTATAGCAAGCAAAAAAAGAATACTTTCAAACAGCTCTCTCTTCCCTAAACTTTCTTGACCTTGCTTTTGGACTAGAGAATTCTCTCTCTTTAAACCTCCTCTGATTAAAAGAGGCCATGTGAACACTTGGTCAGGGGTGTACGTGTGAATTGTTCCTTCTGTGGACAGTGTGGAGTATGGCTAGCACTTCTGAGAGTAGAACCCTAGGCTGCTAGCCCTTTCCCTTCTCAGCACCTCGGGGCCAAGGCATGTGTGTCCTTCATGCTGCTTCCCCATCAGTCTGCCTCTAGTAGCTACCACATGATTGCTTTGACTTCTGGGAGAAAGCCCATATGGTACACACTACTACCACGAATGTAGACAGTATCAGAATTTTTTCTTAATGACTTGAATCATATAAATCTAATGTTACTTGTGCTCATAGCAGTCCTGCACAAAGAAGTGGCCTGGGAGTTTTATAAATGCAGATATAGTCAACTATTAGTTGTCACATACAGATTATCTCTCAGGCAGATTACTTGTGACACATTTTAAATCCTTGGACCGTGTCTCCAAGCAAGCCAGTCTGAGCCATCTCCTCCACCACCCTCCCCCCAGCTGCTAAGTACATAAGAAATACAAATTAGTTTTCATATTAACTTAAGGAAGACATAATTAGGTAAGTAGGAAAACCACATCAGAAATGACAGTTAACGGGAAGGTTGAGAGGAGAGTGACATACCCTCTGTTCATCTCAGCTAAGAACTGAGTGTAAGACAAGCTTGCATAAACACACACCATGAGCACTCAGTGAGCTGGGTGTTCAGTGAAGGGTTTGTTAAGTGCTTCACAGTGGGCATCAGAGACACCGTGTGCCCTGGGCGCTGGGGTGTGTGGGAAGCTGCAGAGCTGCAACAGATTCTACTGGCCCATCTTGCCCAGTGCTTTTTAACAGTTCTGTGTTCTTGTCAGGCCTCTTTATGGCAGACCATGAAGGTTGCAAGTGGATCCTGTCAAGAAGGCTGCAGGTGGGTTCATCCTTGGGGAGAGAAGGAAGCAGCTGAGGGTGGAGTTACTCTGAGGCTGCCGTTCCAGGCTCTACTTCTGTGTGAAGGGCATGACTCTCCTCTGACGCAGTCCCCATCTTATGGTCACCTAATAGCTTTAGTAACCATTGATAATTGGTCATTATTTTATTAATTAGCTGGATTCTTTTATAAAGAACTTGTCCCCAGTAACAATTTGCCTGTGCCAAGTACAGTTCAGATAAGAAGGAGAGAGTCTTGATCAAGATGTTTACTGGGGGGGAAAAAAAAAGGTGTTTACTGGGCTCAGCAGACACCAGAACCCTAAGATGGCATCGATCATTCCAATGAGTGAGAAGAAACGCATAGATGTCAAATAAGGGGAGCTGCTAAGCTGGATATTGATGTAGTATTTTATACCTAAAGACTTCACTGGAGCATTTCCAAGCGGTTACCTCTGGCATTTCAGCAAGTACCTCAGTGTGAAGAAAGCTTACGTCATTGGGGTTAAGTGTGGTACAGCAGCTTACATGCATTTCAGCTACCTTTCCTACAAGAAACCCAAACATGGGCAGTAGCATAGAACCACTGAAGAGGGGCTCGTGCATGGTACCTCCTGCACTGCCAAGCATGTCCTCTCTCTCCGAGGGGCTCAGTCACCACTGAATCCTTCATGCCCTGAGAACTAATGCCCAATAAAGGGCAACTGACTTGAGGAAGAAAAAAAGAAGGTGAAACTTTACTGAGATAGATTTTTTTTTCCTGTGTGACAATCAAACCCACGACTGTTCATAATCTACTGTCATAGGAGTCTCATTGGCTCATGTAATTCTGATCTTGATATGTTCTTAGAAAGTTTCCATTTTGGGGCTTCAAATTTTTCAGAAATGTTGCTCTGCAGATTACGCTAAGCAAGGGTTGAAAATCAAGAGTGTGTCTTTGGAAGCTTCCTTGCCTTGTCTGTCTGCTCAGGTAGAAAAGACTGGGTTGGATGATAGGCAAAAGAAAGAGTTTGTTGTGCCATTCCTGCTCCTTGTGCCTATTTGAGATTTTCCATAATAAAATGTTTGAAAATACTAACAACAAAAACCTCTGTCGCTAACTCTGGGTAACTCTTGTGTGGACCTACCACTACTCATTTCTGCACCTAACTACTGCAAACTTTTGGACAGCTTGGTGACTTTCTTCTAAGGTTTCTATCATCTCTGCTCCACTTTCTGTTTAAAAGTATTGGTGTACTTTTAATTGAACCATACTCGATCACTGGTGTGTGGGCTTTGGAGAGCTCAAGTGTTCCCATCCTTCTCCCAGCAATTGCTTCTGGGAATTCACTGAGCCCTCCTGCCCTTCTCTTCACTGTTGGATCTGAACATATGCATGTTCCACAAGCTCTCGCAGAAGGCGTTTCTCTCCTGCCATTTTCAGTTAAAGTCTTTCTGGCTTTAAATGTTCAGGTCATCAGGCTTATATGAGATTGGGCACATTTAGGGAGGTAAGGCCGTGGTCCTCAGATTTAGGAGTTAGCTAGTTCAGCTCCACATTGGAGGCTCCAGTCAATCTCCAATGGTTTTGAATACTAAAAGCACAAAACCCTGATTTCGTAATGTTCCTGAGCACCTCCAGTAATTTCAAGAGAACAGCATGAAATTATATCTTCAAAATGTTTTGAGCTACATTTACTAAAAAGTAAAAATGAATTCAGTTTTAACATTTGGCTTGTAAGATGGGAGATTGAGGAGTTTTGTGGTGGTCTGCAAAATCAGGACAAGGACAGGGTAGCATTGTCCCAACAAAACAGAGGCACTGCTGTGACTATTATTACAGGAAGCAATTTTTCTAAGTGCATCTTGAGATTGTCTGGCAAGAAGGGCAAAAATCTTGGGTGCTAAGATTTGGGTGCCCAAACACCAGGGCACTGTGAGGCTCCTCCTGGCTTCATGAGAATGTTCAATATTAGCCAGATGCAAGACATTTTAATTCACAAATCCCCCCAATTCCCCCAATGCCTTGGACTTAGAAAACACAGAAAAGGCCAGGCACCTGTGGCTCACACCTGTAGTCCTAACTACTTGGGAGGGAGAAATCAGGAGGATCTGAACCAGGCCGGACAAATAGTTCATGAGACCCTATCTTGAAAATAACAAACACAAAAAGGGACTGGTGGAGTGGCTCAAGTGGAATCGTACCTGCCTAGCAAGCTTGAGACCCTGAGCTCAAGCTTTTTCTGTCTTTCCACCTAGTCTTACTATCATAAGGGTTACCTAGACCTCTTTTTGGTTTCATATTGACCTTCTTTTCATGACCTTCCTTCTCTTGCTCTACATCTGTCCTCTTTCCATCTGGTCCTTGCTTAGGCTCCAGCCTCTCTATCTGCCACCTGTTCACTGAGCTGGCTTCCTTGCCTGATTTCCTTTTATCACCTTCTACTTCTGTTTCAGTGTGAACATGCCCAGTGCTCTTCATGTGATGGTTGGTGGCTTTCCTTAGACATCAGCCTGGTGTAAACATTTTTCCAGGCCTGCAAGTAAAAGAGTTTTTACAGGACTTCTCTCCTGCCTGTCACCCATAGATATCCATGATGGCTCTTAAAAACTACAAGTTACATAATATAATCAGTGCTTTCATTCCATACTTAATCTTATTATCTACAATCATATACTTCTGGTTCACCATTTAAACTGGTGTTTTCTTGAGATACACAGTGTTCATGTCCATAAAATACAGAAGGCATTACCCCATAAATTTTCATTTGGATTTTAAGAATTCTCTTCCATCAACTGTTGTCTTTATTATTTGTTTAGTTCTCTGTTTTTTTGTCACAACCATCAATATTTTTCTCCCAACTAAAGATAATTCCATGGCCAATTTGGAAGGCCTTTGGGCTGAAAGATTCAGTTACTGCAAACAACAATTCCCAAAGGTTTCCCAGCGTGGGAGGGAAATGAAAGGCCCATTCTTCCGCAGGCCTTCTGTCCTGCCCTATCTTGGGGGGTGAGGGGATGGCAGCCACGCTGCTGGGTAACCAACCAGACCTGCAGCCCTGTGCTCTGCTTGGCTCACACCTAGCCTGTTGAAATTTGTCACTATGATAACACCATATCATACTGTCCCCAACCATATGTGTCTCTTTTTTTTTGGGGGGGAAGAGTAGCTCTGGGGATTGAACCCAGGCCTTGCATGTATTAGCAAGATTTTGCCACTGAGCTATACCGCCAGAGCCCCAGTCATATTTTTAACATTCTTAGTATTCTTAGTATTGTTTAGTGGTTAGGCCTGGATTATCTATTTACCAATGCACTGGGGTGGCAGTTACTTTGTCTCCATCATAGGACAGTTCTAGTGCTGGTGGTGACCACTGTCATGTTTCAGAGAGGAAGCTGCCTGCCGGCCCCTCTGCCTAATTCCATGGCTTCATCTGTAACCTTTATGTCTGGGGAGGACTTTGGCAAATGATGTGCTGATGGAGATGGGTGCTGCCTCTGCTCTGCTTCTCTTCTGTCCTCTCCAAGCCCTGGTCTAACGTCCATGATCCCAACTAGATTTCTTCAAACCTCTCATTCAAAGTCATCTTTGAAAAGCTGCTGGCAACTACTGTAAACCTACTGTATGCCCAAGCACTGTACCAGGCTTTGCCTATGTGGGCACATCTGGTTCAACAGCTCTGTGAAATTAGTGACTACCACTGTACTTGAGGAAGCTGTGGCTCACAAGGTGTTAAATGGCAGAATCAGGATTCCTATGGAGGTCTTTCTGACCAGAAAAGCTTTAATGGAAGTAAAATGGCCTAGTTTACCCTCCCATGAAAAACACTGCCACAGTGTTTGACTACAGCACCTTCAAAATGTTGTCATGGAGAAAGCTGATTTCACTCTGGAGCACAGTGAAAGGTTTCAAGGCTCTTCAGTCTGCAAAGGGCAAGGCTAGATGGAATATAGTCCAGTTTCTAAGATCATGAAGAATATGGTCAATTATAAGTCACATTATATTTCATTATTAAGCACCCACTACACTCAGGTTGCTCAGTATTCAGCGACACAGTCCTGCCAACAATTGAAATAAGCAGATTTATAAAGAGGAAATAAGCTGGGCACAAGTGGCTCACACCTGTAATTCTAGCTACTAGGGAGGCAGAGATCAGGAGGATCGTGGTTCAAAACCAGCTGGGACAGATAGTTCGAGAGACCCTATCTCAAAAATATCCAACACTAAAAGGGCTGGTAGAGTGGCTCAGTGGTTGGAGAGCTTGCCTAGCAAGTGTGAGACTCCTGAGATCAAACCCCAGTACCATCCCCCCCCAAAAAAAAAGAAAAGAAAAGAGAGAAAACAATAGCTACTTGGAAGCAGGTCAGTATAGATCCCATGCCAAGTAAGTGGTGCAGGCAGTAAAATCACAGGAGGGAGAGAACCTCGTGGACTCTCTGTGTGCTGTAACCCCATAGAAAGCTGTGGAAATTGTCAGAAGAGTGGCTCTTAGATCAGCAGGGAATAATCTAGGCTGAGGGATCTGCTGGACACATGTACATAGTGCTTAGGGTACGTTGAGGGACCAATATGATTGTGATGGAAGGATACTATAGGGTACTTGTAGGAAAGGGTCACACACTTGCTCATTTAAACAGTATTTCAACATTCAGCTAGCCATGCATGGTGGTACACACCTGTAATCCCCACTACTTGGGAAGCTAAGGTAGGAGGCTCAAGAGTTCGAGGCCTGTCTGGGCTCAATAGTGAGATCCTGTCTCCAAAAAAGAGAGAGAGAATGAGTGAGTGCTGAGTAGAGACAGAAGTATCTGGAAGCAAACATGACAAAGTGCTTTGCCACAGATCATTAAGGCTGGGTTTGCAGCACTCCAACTAGAATACTTTCTCACTGCAGGCCCAGATGAAGTGCATGCATGGACCGTCAGGAAAGCGATGAAGGCTCCTCAGGCTGCAGGAAAGATTCACACAGATTTTGGAAAGGGATTCATTATGGCTGAAGTAATGAAAGATGAAGATCTTAAAGAG